CCGGAAAGCAGGGTTTAGGGTAGATTTCATTCAGAAGAAGTTAGTTACTGAGGGGTGCCTGCAGTCGGAGGTGGGCTGGGGATTCTGTGCTACGTAGTGATTTTCCCAGTGGTGGTCCAGTTTTGGGTTCTGAATCCTACGTGACACACCTCTTGTAATCAGGCACTGAGGCTCATGTGTCAACCCCCAGGTAGCAACGATGACCTGTTATGGGTACCAAGCAGTTTTCCATAGTTTTGTTCTCACAGTCACTTACTCCTCTGGATCCTGGGAGGTGTGTGGTTTTCAGCTGCCGTGCACATTACAGATGGAGAAACTGAGGCTCAGAGGTGATAAATAGCTCTCTCTGGGTTACACAGCCAGGGGCAGGGATGCTAGGTGTCGACTGCGACCCAAGACAATATGAGCTCACTGCTCACACTCCCCTCGATTACCCGAGAGAATGTTTTTGAGAAATTCCCTGCTAAGCTGAATTGTGTCCATGCTGAATCCTCACTCTGGTTTAAAGTAGGCGCCTTTGGGTGCTGTGTAACCCTCAGACCGGGTGACAACAATTTCACGCTTGAAGAAGCAAATCGCTGTAAACCATGAAGTCTGTAATTCCAAACAACAAAGCACTATGCAGAAAGAAAATAAAAGAGAACAGATCAGCCCTTGAGTTAACCAGTTAGAGGCTTAGGTTTTATTAGGGAACCATGGAGAAGGCCCTTGTTTCAAATTGCTACACTGTTTCCAGTGAAGTGTTACTGGCTTCCCCGCTTTATAGCCTCTAAGGCTTTGTTAGGGCCCTGGAGGCAGGGGAGGGAGTAGCCTCGATTAGGTTTTTGTGGGAGCCATGCCAGGCTGTGCCCTGAGGCGCCTGCTGGGAAGGTGTACCTGGGGCGGTGCCCAGGGTGGATTTACCTGGAGGAGGGCGGTTCCTTCCCACCTGGCCAGGGGCTTCGGCACAGTCATTCCCACTGGCAATAGATAGTGTTGATGGTTTTGCATAGCCTACCAAGAACAAAACACTATTTGAATTCTGAATATGGGTGAATTTGAATAGCTGCCATTTGGGGGTGACACCCAGTTGTACAAGATGTTTATTTTCCATGTGTCAGTTTTTGAAGGAGATTTAAAATTCTTTGGTAGGGACTTTTTTTTAATGAATGTTTGTGAAAGCTAGATCTGAGTTTTTCAAAGCACTTGGCTTTTAACCCACCCGATGGGACTCTTGAGCGTTGAATTCTTTGTGTAGTCTTTCTAGATGTTGGTCTTTCGGCAAAATTGACATTTTTAATCCATCTTGAACATGTGTGTGCCTGTGAGTTTAGAGCTTTAAGCTGTGCATTGCAGAACGTGGCATTTGGTAGAAAACGGCCCAGCGTTTGTGGGTGTTGCAGGCCTACGGATGCGGGGAACCTCGCATTTGTGGGGTAAAAATGATTGGCCAATGAGTCGTTCAGACATGTCGGAAAATACTGCAACGGTGAAATAGGCTTGAGTAACCTTTTCGCCGTTTACTTTGGTGGAGGGAACATGGTTAACGTCGTCCAGGCTTGATAAAGTTTTAGCAAGTGTTTACCTAGTTAAACACGGGATGTCGTAGGGACTTTTAAATAAATGATCGCGAACAAGGAAGTGGCGGTGGCGGTCGTTCTGGGCGTCAGCCGGTGCGCGGTGTTTGTTTCCGAGTCTCAGTCTAAACCACTTCAGCTGTTGGGCTGGAGTCTCTGGCCTCAGAGTTAGGTGCTTCGGGCAGCTGGTGAACCACCTGAGGCCTCCAGTAACTCTGGAAATAGTTACTTGCTAACACGTGTTAAAAAACACTGGCTCTGAAATAAAGGGGTGTTGATTTACTGAGCACCTACTGCGTGCCAGACCTACTGTGTGGGAGGGAGGCCCTGGAGAGCCGATGTGGCCCCGTCCTCCTGGAGGTTGGTTGGTTGGGGACAGATGGTAGATGAACACCTCCCTGGCAGGGGGAACCTGGAGAGGCTGGCCGGAGGGTCTGGCCGGCAGTTAGGGGAGGTCCGGGGCCGAGATCGGAGCGGCGTCTGAGCACCTGGTGGGAAGAGGGCGCCAGGTGGGAGCATCAAGGGAGGCGCTGGGCCCGACTCCCGGCCGAGGAGTGTGGGTGGGTGGAGGGCGGGCTGTGCGAGGTTAGGTGGGCAGATGTGCAGGCGACGGTGGGGTTGATGGGTCGAAGGCCCCATGAGCCGGGAACCCTGGGGCGCTGCCTGCCCGAGCACGTGGCTTCTCCTGCAGCCCCGTGAGGCGGGCGCTTCCGGCACCGCTTCCGTCTCGCTGATGGGTGGGCCAGGGCGCTGGCGGCTGTGCTGGGCTTTGGCCCTGTTCTCTCGGGCCGCGCCTTCCGGAATGAGCCGGCCCTGGGAGCGTGAGATTCAGGGGAAGGAAACGCGTTCTGAGCCGGGGTCTTGCAGGCGGGTCGGCTTCGGGAAAGGCCACGAGACCACTCTCAGACCCCGTGCCGCTGGGGCGCCTTTGGGATTGTTGTGAAGACGGTGTGCAGGTCTGGACGGGAGAGACCAGCTGGGGTCACGGCCGGAGGTGGTCAGAGCTGCTGCTGGGCTGACAGGTCAGTCACACGGAGGGTGATCAGTCGGTGACCCGTCCGCACGGGTGTGAGGGCGCCAGGGCGGAGGATGCGTGCGGTGAGGTCCAGACTCGGGACAGCCTCCAGGAGCCATGGCCCGAGTGGCCTCTTGGGTGGGTTGGACCTGCGTGAGGGCTGCAGCAGGAGTGACCACGCACAGGAGAAACCACACGCCCGGGGCTCTGGGGGCCGAGGGAGACTGAGGGTCACCAGTGGCAGTCGTGGGGCACCTGAGGACAGATATGTGACTTGGGTCGGCCAAGAGGAGGCCCTCGGTGGCCCTCGGGAGAGCCGGAATGGCGAGGAGCAGAGGGCATGTAGGATGGCCGTGGGGACGTGGGAGCCTGCGGTGACCTGGGCTGAGTCGAGAGCCTAGAGGAGTTGACGAGATAACGTGTGCAACCACCTTGTGCAGGTGTGCACTTAGTGGGGTCACCGGGCATGGGGGGACAAGCCTTGGTGGCAGCCGAGGGCCTGTGTGGCCCAGCTGAATGTGGACGGGACTGCGGGATGGGGTCGGGGA